TTTTCACCCCAAACTGAGGACACACTCTTGGAATCGTGGCCTCTGGTCCGGTTCGTGGGAGCCCAGGAGCTCCGCTGCCGCCATCTCCTGACCTCCGGTCTGGCACGGAGGTTTTTGCAAGGACCTCTCGCCATTTCCCCCTCCTTCCATTTGGTTTTGTTAGAAGGTCACTGTCTTCCCGGAGCCTCGGTGGCACCATGGTTAAATGCCAGTACTGCGGCCACAAGGTTGTGAGTTCGATCCCTGCAGGGCTCCAAGGTCCACTCAGCCTTCCATCCTTCCATAGGTTGCTAAAAGGAGAACCCAGTTTTGTTGGGGGCAATCAGCGTCCAGATTGTAAACTGCTTAGGGAGTGCTTAGTTCACTATTATGCGGTATAGAAATGCAAATGCTATTGTTATTGCTATTGCTATTGTTGTTGCTGAGCTTTGCATGCACTAATGCAGGTGTGCTTCCAAGGCAAACAGATGTGCATATTTGAAATAGAGGGTTAGGATGGTGTGGTGGGTGTGCATCGCCTCGGCCAGCGGCGAAACTGGGAAAATAGTTTTCCAACCAGCTGTGGGCAGTATGGCCGAAAGGGGTGGGGCCTAAAGGTGGAGGCGGGGTTTATGTGAAAGGGGAGGGGCCTGCATGGGCTGCGCTTTGCTTGAAAACAGGCTAAAATAGCAAATAGTAGCTTTACTCACTTAAATACCTTGAAAGATATGCAAAATATGTGTAGTGCATAATTGTATTTTAACAATAGCAAAATATGGGGAAATCTGCAAAATAAGCGCTGGGAAATAACTGAAGAGTTGCCTTTATCCCTTCCTTTATTGGATGACCGGCTTGCAAAACAACAACACAACAACAACAACAGCGAATAATAGCCATTGTCCATTGCTTCAGAATTGCTTGATTTGCATTTATCGTACGAATGCAGCTTTCCTGAATAAACCTTTTGTTGAGTAACAAAACTCTTGCAAAGTCTCTGGTTCTCTTTCTGAATGAAAGGAAAGGAAGTCTGTATCCACTGGTAGTTCTCCTCTGGTTAGGACTGACTGTAGGATTTATCCTAAAAAGACCAAAGGGATTGTAGAAGCATAGAGATGGAGAGAACCCAAAAGGCTATCTAGCCTGGAGAAGAGACGGTCAAGGGGTGATATGATGGCCCTGTTTTAAGGATTTGAAGGG